AGGGTGCAGACCCACAATTTGGACTGATGAAGGCCTGGGTCACTGGGGACTGTGACAATGGTGGAGATGAGTGGGGGCAGGAGATTCGTCTAACTGAGCAAGCCATTCAGGCCATCAACAAGCTGAACCCCAAGCCCAGATTCTTTGTTCTGTGTGGGGACCTCATCCATGCCATGCCAGGTAAGATCCGAGTTGTCTCTGTGACCTTTTCTCCTTTACCCAGTTATAACTGCATTTGGTCAGAAAAAAAATGATTCCTCTTAAAAGTTGTCTTTATTCGGTAATGGCTCATTTCTTCTCTTCATGACGGTTGCAGTATCATCAAACATCAGAAAAATGCACACTCATTTTATATTTAGAATTTGGTGAGATTAATCACAGTAATTAGGCAGCGCTGCAGTTCTGATGATCTGAGCTTAATATGAAAAATGGAGCAGATTCCCACGTGTCACCTTGCTTTATTTCCAGGGGACAAACTTGAACTGCTTCCAGATAACTATATCCGTAAATGTAATTGTCTCTTCTACCAATTTTATTTCTCCTGTATTTGCTAGTGCTTTTTTAGTTTCAAGTGACAGAAATCTAACTTAAACTGGATTAATTGTTTTTAATTAATTGTTTTTAAGGTAATCTAATGGCACTGTAAATATCAGAAGTAGAGTTGGCTTTCGGGTATGGCTGGATCCAGAGACTCAGAGGTTGTTTTGGGACTTGGACTCTCCATTGCTCAGCCCTGCTTTCCTCTGGTTTGACTTCATTCTCATGTAGGCTCTCTCTAGTTAGTAATTCCTGGGGCTGTAGGTTTATATCCTTTTTACAGAAGCCACAACAGAAAGAAAGTACCTTATTCTTGGTGGTGTAGTCAAAGCCCCAGACCAACACCCAACCAGCTCATGTGGCCCACTGAAGCCAGGGTGTGGGGTCCACTCCGCTGCAGCCACGTGGTCTGAAGAACAGGATGGGTCCCCTAAGGAAGAGTATGTTGCATGGCGTGGAGGCCCACGGGAATGTGAAAATAATAGATGCCTTCTAGAACTCACTTCCTTTTTTTCCTTCCCCTACCCTGATATCCTTCTCTGATAGCCCAATGAGCAAGTATAAGCAAGTGGAAACTGCCCCTGCCCCTGCCCCTGCCCCTCAGGGAGGCAGAGCAGGAATCCATGGCCACTCTTATCTAGGTCCTGGTCTCTGCTTAGTGGAATAGCAATGACCAAGGACTACTGCAGAAAACACTGCAGTGGCTATAGGTGTTTGTTTTCATCTGATGTTAACTTGTAAACCAAGACTCCTGCAATGATGTGAAACACCTTTAGAAGCCAAAGTTCCTTTGCAGTAAGCCAAAGTGCACTAATTTCTCCCCATCAAAGCTCACTTGTTTTCCATCCTACCTCTGCAAACCAGTCCCAGAAGGAAGATAAACAAATGGAAAAGGGGCTGCCCAGAATTGCTCTCCCGGCAGTGTAATCAGCAGGGAGAACCCTCAGACCTTCCCGCATCTGTTTACTAGCATTTACACAAACTCATCAATGTGCACATGCCCACGTCATCCACTCCCAGCAGGTAGAATCCAGTGATGTAATCTCTAGAGAAGTAGCCTGTCCTGCGATTGGGCCTCTACAAAGGTGGCCGGATGGAACAGAGGGAGAAAGACCTGAACACTCGGGCTCAGGTGGCTGGCACTTCAGCTCCACATCTGCTCCTGATGCACTGGGTTATCTTGGACACACTCCTTACCTTCTTAAGGCCTCAGTTTCTGAACCAAGAGCCATGGATGGCAGCAAGAATTTAAAACCTCAACAGTCTGGGGCTGTATAGCACAGTGGCAGATGACTGACTCTATACTTCCAGTCAGGTGCTGAATACCTTAGCAGCTTGGTACAGAAACACATTCACAGGAAGGTGGTGAGTTTTGTCCTATAGAGAGGTAAAATCTTAGTTGCCTATGACCTTGGCCACCTGGTGACTCTTGGCCAAGGGTTCCTAGGTGCTGAGATTGTACAGTGCTAAAGTGACCACAGAGTGCTCGGTTTCTAAAAGAGTTAAAAGTCATAGCAGGACTTGAAGTAAACCAAGATAAGGTGTTAGTTGACCAGACAGATTAATGCTACTTCCAAATGGTCTGATCTGCAGTTAGCTGGGTTTTGGGGATCAGTCAGCACTGTAGCATCAGCTAGAGAGCTCACTCAGGGCCACACAGTGAGCAAGTTTCTGTTTTTATTGGACACTTGAAAATCGGATTCTGAATTTAGCATTTTTCTGTCCGGTTTCTTTTCTTTTTTAAAAAAATTTAAATTCTTTATTGTTTAAAGTACTACATATGCCCCCCCTCCCCACCCCATTGACCTCTCCCTGGCCACTTCTACCCCCCAGCACATGCCCTCACCCCCCTATTGTCTGTGTCCATTGGTTATGCTTATATGCATGCATACAAGTCCTTTGATTGATCTCTTACCCCCCTGCTCCCCTGCCTTCCCTCTGAGGTTTGACAGTCTGGTTTCTTTTCTTTAAAAATAGAGTATTATGGGACTCGCTAGAATTACATAACATGTTCTTGTAGATGTTTACTACTTGTTCTGAATTATGTTAATGTATTCAGTCATATTGTCACCAGAAAAAGACCAAGACTGAGCATAAGCAGTGAGAGGAAACTTAAAGGACTGATTATTAGGGGCAGT